ACCATGTAAAGACAGAGGTGACCGGTACAAGATTCCAGCTGGCTGTGCTTGTATTAAAAGCTGGCGACACAGGAGGATGTGAAACTTTAGCCTGTTCAAAACCAGGCAAGCAAAGCAGACTAAAAGCCAAGATAAGCTCAAGTAGGTGAGACATTTAAGAAGGACTTTTTTGAAGAAGGAAAAAAAGAAGTCCAGTTTATAAGAGACAAAACCAAAATAAGTAGATTTGCCAGAACCCTTTTCCTTGTAAACATGAAGCAGTCAAACACTATTTTTTATTCCCTCTACTGTATCCTCATGTGACTTAAAAATTCATACAGTCCTGAGAGTATGTTTGAGATGAACGCCTCTTTAGTAATTCTTCATCTAACACTTCAAGAAACAAAGAGGGAAAGGCAGGGAATTGTGAAGAAGTATTTCCCTAAAAGACAAACAGAAAAAGCAGCTGCAAGAAATGGTGAAGAAAAGGGTAAGGCAGCAAAACATGAGAGGAAATAAATGTTCTCTTAAAGAAGGGTAAATCTGAGGCTCATTTTTCACAGGCCCTCCAGAAAAGAGGCCTGACAGCCACAGGCTCTGATTTTCCACCTGCAAACACATTCATTCCCACACTTTGCAGGTGCAGCTATTCCATTCCAAGCAGCCCTTGTGTTTTCTTTACCAGGGAAGCTGCACGGCACGTTCTTCAGGGAAAATGCAGAGCTAACAGCTGAACCTGGGGCAAAAACCCAGTGCAGCCCAGTGCAGATGCTGGGTATGTCCCTCCCCGCATAGCTGTGAACACCAGATCTCCTGTGCACAGCACAATGGGGACCCACTGATGGCACCCATACCAGGAGCTGCTCTTCCTTTACAGGATTATGCCCCAATCTGGACAGCACAGACACCACTGGGTATGACTGGGTTCAGAACACGTAGTAAGATACTGAAAGCTTCTTCCAAGAAAGGAAACAGGAAAGCCAGACCCAAGCACATCTTCATTCTTTCATAAAAGGCAGAGCAGTAACATGTATGGAGATGGAAGATACTGCTGAGAGTACCTTAGAACTGCAAGGGTGAGGGGGAAGACCATGGGCTGTCTGATACTTGTGCAGAAAGCAGCACTGCACCCACACTGTCAGAAAGCCACAAGAGTGTGTGGGTTCTCTGGGTTTGGAACAAGAGCACAGTGAAAGGAAGCTTGTTTACTTTAGACACTGCACAAAGAGTGATTTTTTAAGTAGTAAATGGTTGAAAGGATGCCTCCCCTCTGAGGGGTTAGCAGAAAATAAAAGGTACATTGATATTTCTAATCTATGCAAATATCTACTCTACGGGGCATCACAAAGACTTCTTTATATCAGGCAGGATGCAGATCCCAGGTGCTTTAACTATGCCAGAAGCATAGGCAACATCTCCACCTGCGGTGGCTGCTCACTCCAAGAGCAGCTGGGTGAGGAGAAAGAGGTTGTCTCTCAGTAGGCTCCCATGGAAAGTGCCTTCTGCTAATGTGCCAAGCCCCCCCTACTCCCACCCAAATGGCTCCTGCTGTAGCTGTCATCGAGCATGGAGAGGGGTGGTTTCGTTTGTTTTTTCATGTGCTTTATCACAAATTCTTCTAGAAACTTCCAAATTACAGCAATGACAACACAGTGAAACTCCTACTGACACCTTCAGGTTTCAGTGTTTCACCACCCTCATCATAAAGAATTTTTTCCTTACATCCAGCCTGAACCTCCCCTCTTTCAGTTTAAAAGCATCACCCCTCATCCTATCGCAACAGGCCCTGCTAAAGAGTATCTCCCATCTTTCATATAGGCCCCTTTTAAGAGCTGAAAGGCTGCAATAAGATCCTCCTGGAGTCTTCTCCAGGCTGAAGAACCCCAGCTCTCTCAGCCATTCCTCACAGGAGGGATGCTCCATCCCTCTGATCATTTCTGTGGCCTTCTCTGGACCCTTTCCAACAGGTCCATGTCCTTCCTGTACTGCGCACTCCAGAGCAGGATGGCGGACTGTAGGTGGGACATCATGAGAGCAGAGTAGAGGGGCAGAATCCCCTCCCTTGACCTGCTGGCCATGATCCTTTGGATGCAGCCCAAGATATGAGTGGCTTCCTCTGGGCTGCAAGCACACATTGCCAGGTCATGTCCAACCTGTCATACCATCTTTTTACCCTTCTCCTCTGGGATATTATCACCCTCCATCCCCCAGCCTGCATTGAATCCAGGATCCTGCAGGCATAATTAGCATTTCAGGCTTCCGACAGTAATGATAAAATGGAAAGAAGTTTGAATTTTCTCAATAAATCCTTACTGTTTCACCTGAATATGAACTTTTTTGTACAAGGATTCCCCCTGTCAGTCCCAAGCAATAGCAGAACACAAATGGTCCAGAGATTGTTCGGATGAGTCAGATGGTCTTCCAAATAAAAATGATTTAGGAACACTGCCTTAGAGCCACTGACCAACCCCACAAGTAAGGCTCCTCTCGACCAACAAAACCTAAAAGCTTGGATCATTTTCCCTCTTTGCAATGACAGCACATGAGGCGCAGTTGCCAGAAGCAGGGAGGAATAGTCAATTCAGGACAAATCTCTCAAAAACAGCTATCAAGCAAAAAATCTATAACCTAATATATAATATATACTACAAAATATATAATATATGAAAACACAATATATATTATATATAATATGTATAATATATAATTATATAATATATAAGCCATCTCAATAATTCAATTCTTTGAGTTTTGAGTACTTGTGGATTATGTGTTTGCTGAAGTTTTCTCGGAAGACTTTCCATCATCTTCAAGGAATATCAATCAATCCTGGAGCCTACTCTTAACTAAAAGCCTGGACTGAGAGACGGGTTTCACCTCAAGCTCCAGCAATGGCCAAGAAAGCTCAGGGCTGGAAATGTTTTCACCAAGAGAAGGTTACAAAGGCAACGGGTTCACTGCTAGCAGTCCTGTCACTTGCTTTGCAGCTTCAGCCTTTGGTGATGGATTGGTTTGGTGGTGGTGGTTCTGCAGCTGCCCAGAAGCAGATGGAGTCTGATCACAAGTTCTGCATTGAAGACAGATTTGTCATGTACGTAAACACGAGTCAAATACGTAGGCCCTGAGTGGGTGAGTCTAATGCCTACCTCACCATCACAGGTAATTGCATCATGATCAAACCTAATCCTAAAAGCAGCCAGTCTCAATTTCAAATCCGTTTGCTTACCAAAAGTGAACACAGAAATACACAACCTCCCCATCTGGCCATCTAATCACACTTTAGACTAAGTCTTTCTCCACCACTTGGTTCAGAAGAGTCCTCCACCACACTGCTTCAAACATGAGATTTACTGCATCTACCTAGAATTGCACAGTTGAAGGTTTCCTGCCATCACATCACCAACATCACATCATCACAGCAAAGCGATTCCACACTTCAGGAAGCAAACAAGCAAAAAACTTAACAGGCTATTCTGTACCTGAGATCCATCAGGGAGCTGCTGGGTTTGCTACAGACACTTAAAGAAACACAAGGGGCACTTATAAGACTGCAGCTTATGTTATCAATCACTTTCAGAGAGAAACCCAATTCAGCAGCCACTCCAACTGAGTGTCGTGAAGTGCAATTGTCACTGAAATGTTTTGTTATTACCAACCTGGGAAGAACAAGCAAATATACCTCTGCAGGTGAGCTGTGAATGAGCAATCAGCACTGCAGGCTGCAGCTTGAAGAGGTAATAGCATCCAAGTAGCTACAATGCTACCTCACACACAGCTAGGCCAGGCTTAGGCTGACAAAAGTGAGCAACAGGCATTCTGACTGCATGTTAAAGGATTCTGAAGGAAAAAGCTATGAGGCTTCCCTCTCCCAACATGTACAAAGCAGGAACACACAGACACAGACAAGCATTGATGTTCAGTCTATTCCCAGGGAAACTGAAGCTTTGTGATGCTTTCAGTCTACTGTTTGGCAAGAATTCTGCACATACAGTAGTCAAGGGACTGCTCGACAGCTGCCACTTGAAGAAGCGAATCTGTCACATCCCACCAAAGTCAATTCTCCAGTGTTCAAAGAAATCCTTTAAAATACATAAACTTCAATATGAAAAATGCAATATAAAGAAAAAGCCACTTTTTTCTCCACTACTTATTTAGCCACACTGACCATGTGCAGGTTTGCAGCAACAGAACACTGTTTTCAGTGCAGATGCTTCCAGCACCCCATAGCCCTCACCCACTTATCCCAGGCTTTACCTTTAGCTGTGCTGATGCAACTCTGCTGTAGACCAGATAAATGAAATAATTCTGGTTAAAAAGCAAACAAGCCCACCCATTTCGGGGTGAGGTGGGCTTGTTTTCTCCCCTTTTTTTTTTACATTCAAACACAGCACAGATGTGCAAAAACCACACAGTGATGTGGTTTACAAGAAATAGCCCCTCAAAATAGCTGCATTGTTACAACTGCAGCACAGGGCTCCGAATAAAAGAGCAATTCCCACTCGAGTTGTTTGCAAAGGTACACCCTGAACATAATTACAGGAATAATGCCCTCTAACAATTTTCCTCCTTTTGTGAAGTGTAAGGGGAAAAAAAATCAGGAGTGGGATGGGCAAACCACAGAAAAGATGTCAAAGTTCACTTTCAGCAAAGCACAGGCAGACATAAGAGTAATACACAAAAGCTGTATATAGAGGTCCTTTGCCTATGGCTTCCTTTTAATCAATTGTAGGTTACAGAAAAGACTATGTTCACCATGGTCCCATTTAAAATTGAACATGTATTTATGGCTCCCTTTTTGTTCCTGCAGTTGGTCATGTATAATCATTCACCGGTATTGCTTCCCCCCCCCAAAACAGATATAATTCAAGAGGTGACTTCTCTAACTTCTCCCCATTTGTGCAATCACCAGGAAAGGAAAGAACCAGATGATACCTAAGCAAATACTGAGTGCCAGAAACGGAGCAACTGCCTGTTCCCTCCCAGCTGTACCACAATAGTGTGAACAGAGGACAAGCACATACCTTGTTACCTCCTGCTGCAGTCGGGAAACACTGGGCACGTAGAACATCACCCCAAAGAAAAGCAAAGGCTCATTGGCAAATTTGTCCAGCTGCTTCTTTAGAGGTTTTTCCAGTTCAACCCAGCGGACTTGCTGGCTCTTGCTAAGAAACCAAAGGCCGAAGTAGTGTGTCTAGATAAAGAAAGCAAAGAGTGTCAGTTTACCTTGTTCAGCTAGATCATACACACACTATCAATGACACAAATGCAAATAAGAACAGATGGCATTGTGTATGTTTTTCCATATGCAAAATCAGAGTAATTTCTTTTCTACTGCCCTTTATTTTTAGGACAATCTTGAAGGCAATGACAAATTAATATTGCAATAAACTTCACGGAGTACTATCTGCCCCTTCCCATCTCTTTCAAGTGCACTTGAAAGAACTCTAGCTGACGTTGTAGCACAGGTTACATAAATGATTTACAGACAGTGCCTGAGTCTTTGTCTTCATTTACACTGAGCCTTGTGAACAGACAGCAAACACTAGGTCTGAATCAAAGCACAAAGACTTCAGGAGACTCTGGATCACTGCAGGCAAAGCACTAGGACTCTTCCAACTATGAAATGCAGAATGCAAACCTACATGCATGTGTCAAAGTGTATTTGCCAATAACAGAACCCAATACAGAACGTGTTTACTTTTTTAATGCATTCACAAGGTTTTCTGATGGATACACTTAAAACATTCAGCACCCAAGTTGTTTGCTCTAGGCTTTTACAGGAATACCTGGTTGAAAACCTCAGCCATTTCCTATCCTGTGTAAATCTGTAGTCACCTCCTGTATAAGCCACACAGGACAGTTGCTGGTGGAGAGCAATTAACAAGGAACAGTGTTCGGAACTGGAGCTTCCAATACGACAAATGGGTAATAAGCAGCCCATCCGTCATGAAGGGTTCTATTGAAAAGCTCTTCAACCACTGCGTTGAATACACCGATGTACTACTGCAGGCAAATGCATCCTGTAACTAAGAGCAAGTACTACAACTACAGATCTGGAGAAAAGGAGAAAAAACGCATTCATATTTAGCAAAGGAACTCATCCCTCGGTTGCTTGGAAATCTGACTGTAGCCCAACTGTGAAGTTTGTTTCAACATCTTCAGTATTTCAGCTGAGAGCATCTGGAGACTTCCAGCAGTGCCTTCAATACACAGTACCACTCTGTACTAAACACTGGAATGAAGACACTGTAGCTGCGAGAGGAACTTCTGCAGGCACCAAGACTTGAAAGTGCGATCATTCCTATTCCTGCTTATTTCTCTCATTTTATTTCAGTATAGTTTCTTGGCATTTAATCCAACTATTCCCTATTCCATAAAGACTTTCCAGAACTTTCCATTGGATTAGATTAAGCCTAAAACACACACAACACTTACTGTGGTGCTATAGCTTAACTTAAGTGGACAACAGTCCTTCCACAGGCAGTCAAAATCCTTTATATATAGCATCACATTTTTAAATGAAGATACTTGAAGAAAGACTAGAAAAACCTCTATTTGCTGTTTTAGCTTTCATCTGAAATGACTTTCAATGCCTCCAGAAAGTTTGGCCTTTAAATCAACCATCAACATTTCACCACCTGGATTTTCCACAAGTTCATGCTTTGATATATAAAGTCTTCAAAAGCAGCAGGCCAATTGTAACCACTACTCTTTGCAAAAGCCCCCATCAACAGCTTGGCCAGAGCAGCGTTTAACTAAGGTGATAACCTAATTCAACTTAATTCCTCAGTTAGGCCTGACAAGCATACAGTGAACAGTGCTCAGCCCTTTCTCTTTGAGCCCACTTTGGTACAGTGAAGCAAGAGCATTCCTTTTTTGAAGAGAATCAATACAATATTTCCTTGTAGAATTTAAAGGTATCTTCAATAAATCCATCAATCCAGGGCACAAATAAACCAAGAGGACAGCATCTCCCATAGGATAAACTTAAACCAAACCTAACCAATTCACTGGTACATGTCTAATCTCCTGTAGCCATCACTGGATAAAAAGTTCTTACTGACAAGCTCCCCATGACACTAGATTAAAATGAAGGTGGGAGGTACAGCAGAGATGGTAAAGGAAAGGAATTCACATGAAGGCAGAAAAAAGCAGTGATTTTACCACCTCATAAGGGAAATCCTTTAACGCAGAAAATCTTTAAAATCACTGCAGGGCTGCTCATCTCAACAAGAAACAGAGCAGAGCTGTGGAAACAGATCTTCCATATGACTGTAAAAAGGTGATTCACATCACCTAGGACCCAAAGTTGCCACGGCAAGTACTTGTAAAAGATCTAGCGACTAAAATGATTTGGAGCCTGAAGACTAAAAGAGTTACTCAAGGGATTATGAGGGTATTGCAATTAAACAGCTCAAAAGAGCACAGGAGGGCAGGAGGACAACAGAAGTTTAGATTTGCTACAGAAAGGCACTTCAGGTACCAAATCCAGAATCCTGAATCACTTCCAAGGGTTAAGAACCGACTGAAAGGAATGCAGTGTTTAAGCTTCTAGACTCCAGCGGACACAGTGGGCTGACCACAGCAGCAGGCATTTCATGCAACTGAAAGATGACTTTTCTTTGAAAGCAGCCTGGAGAGGATCAGGCAACTGGAGGTGAAGCACAGGGGCTGCAGAGCAGCGCTCGAGTCACAAATGCATTTTGGAGAGACCAAACCCACCATAACCAACACAGTTGTGTGACTATCAGCTCCCTGCCACTAGGAACTTCACTTCCTGAGAACATCAGCATTTTTAACAACCCACAGTGGGAAAGGACTTGTGTAGCCACTACATCAAATGCCTGAAAAAATTCTACTCCCTAAGAACATGAGTAATGCCCAAACAAGAACAGAGCAACATGGGATGGAAATGGCTGGACCATCAAGTTCAGTATGCTATCAAGAGGCATGACTGTCTCAAGGGCCTTATGCAACCCGTTTCATGTATTGCTATACACTTCAGCCCACAAAATATTTTCAGAGTACAGATATCCCACAAATTAGATGAAGGAATATAAAATTAGGATCTTTTCCTCAGTCAGTAGCTGATTGAAAACTCAGTTGATTCCAAAAGCTGGTCCATTTGTCCATCTATACAAAGTAAACCATGACTTCAGTATTCATGGAGTAAGCGTCTACACCTATCCCTGGCAGGCTCTGAAGTATCATGGGCTGCTCTAGCAAAGTGGCAAAGAAAGAGAATGATGCTTCCAGTCACAGTTGACAGACTGATGATACACACTGAAGGAAAGCTTTTCTTAGTGCCAAATGTATGCACACACATCCATCTGACACACACAGACTTTCAGTTGCTACTGAACTGCAGTTGGTCTGCTTAATCTGCAATTACACAGAGCTCTGTTAGAAAAGAGTTTACATTCATTTTCCTCTCAAGGTTTAAAAATCTGCCTTACCTACCAAACATGATTCCATAAGTGGCACAAGGAAAGTGGCTTACACTCCTCCAGGACCTGTAGTCCTCTGCTAAAGCAGCAGACAAGAACCAGAGCACCAGCACATCGCAACAACTCTACGGGAAAAGCTGACCCTCAAGATACGGTGAGCCAGGAAAGAAATCTGGATACACGAAACCTGTGCTGAGAAGTCTTCAAAAAGAAGACATTATAGCTGCCACTTCAGAAGGCAACATACTTGCTTGGGACTTAGCTACAGTACCAAACCCAGAACTACCCCTGCCTTTACGTCAGGCAAAACAAGTAGAATTGTCAACAGCAGATGACAGCCATTTACTAAACCAGCAAATCTCATTCAAAGGGATCCAACAAGACAGACTCAGTGTTTATTAAAGCATCTGGTTAAGCAGCCAACTAAATATTTATCCTTGATGAAGAGGCAAAGTTCCAGCTCCTCTGGGCTACAAGCATTAAACCCTGCTATCCCGGGGCTCTCGCACCACTTCCAGCAGCCAAGTGTTCCTAGAAGGTCTCTTGTCCAAGCGCTGCCTGAACCCTATCCCAGCTTTGCTGCAGGACATGTCAAACCAAACCAAGCCAAACTGCAAGGCAAGCTAGCTGCCAAAACCAGGCTTTCAGGAGGACACAGAAAGCAAGGCCAGAACAGCAGCAAATGGCCACCAAAGCAGTCAGCATCTGTCTGAGGTGCTCAGCCTGCTACCATCCTGCAGCACCTCAGTGCTGGAGGTACCGCTGGGAAACAGAGCTTGAAAGAGTAACTTTGGTTGGAGAGGACCTTCTTACCAACCCAACCCCCTTACAACACATCAGCACATTCCATCTTTGAACTTCTTATCATTTTGCAAATTGAATTAAGAGGAACAAAAAGGAGAAAGAGACGTGAAGTCTCGCAACAGAGTTGCACGGATTACTCTGCTATTTCAAGCAGATTCACTTAGTCTCACTCGAAGGGAAAAATGCCATTACATTGGGGAAAAATATCCTTTTTGTAATCTGTGCATACACATAAAACAGTATAAAATGACATTTCCGACTTTGTATTTTCCTCTCTTTCCCTTCCTCCCCTCTTCTCATCTTTACTTTTTACATAACGCTGGCCTAAGAGCTCATTTCGTTGGAAGCAGTAATTGTTCAACTAGGAGACCTGATGCTTTCTAAAGAGCTTTGCTGAAAAGGATAAAACCAGGTTTTACAGTAGTTACATGGCTACACTTTCTACTGACCTACCCCTGAACCCTGACTCAGGCAGGCAGGGAGCTGCATTCCCCAGAGATCAAACAGAAATATGCATAATCCATTAGATACCGTTTTTCAGTCATGTGTATCACAATTGACAGTCCTTCACAACAATGCCTACAGTAATCTCAAGCAGTTCGGCTTTTTAATAGGGGTATGTGGACAGAAGAAGTCATCTTGATGGATGTATTCCTAACACGAAGGTAAAGCATCAATCAAAAATTGATCTTTTCTGTTAAGAGAACACATACGAAGGACATGGAGCTGCTGGAGCAAGTCCAGAGGAGGCCACAAGGATGATCAGGGGCTGCAGCACCTCCTGTATGGAGACAGGCTGAGAATATTGGGGCTGTTCAGCCTGGAGAAGAGAAGCTGCGTGGAGACCTCAGAGCAGCTTCCAGTGTCTGAAGGGGGCTACAAGGATGCTGGAGAGGGACTCTTCATCAGGGACTGCAGCGATAGGACAAGGGGTGATGGCTTCAAACTGAAACAGGGCAAGTTCAGGTTAGATCCAAGGCAGAAGTTCCTCTCTGTGAGGGTGCTGAGGCGCTGGAAAAGGTTGCCCAAAGAAGTGGTAAACGCCCCATCCCCGGCAGTGTTCAAGGCCAGGTTGGACAGAGCCTTGGGTGACATGGTCTAGTGTGAGGCATCCCTGAGCATGGCAGGGGGTTGGAACTGGATGATCTTAAGGTCCTTTCTAACCCTCACTATTCTAGGATTCTATGAAAGAGGTCAGTAATTCTCTTCTCCCCTAAACACTGAAAGCAGCAACGGATGCTACCAGAATCAACCAGAAAAGGAGATTAAAAAAAAAAAAGGCAACAATTTCTGTCAAAAACTGCTCTCCTGTTGAAATCTGAACCTTACAAAATGAGTTCAATGTTGCCAAAACTTTGTTTGGGAAAAAAAAAAAGGCAGGGAGGGTAATGAAAGAAGGGGAAAGTGTTCCAGCAACATCAAAGCATTCTCTTCTGTGTTGTTCAAGTATTTTTCATCTCGAAACACAAACATTTTGTGCTGACATATTTCTTTTTGCATGACACAAATCAGTTTGAAAATGAAAGAAACCAAAGCAATAGAAGAAGCCCGTGGAATTGAACACTGAACAGAACAACTTCCTTTGCTGCTCTACTGCCCAATCTCTTTTCTCTGGAAAATTCTGAAACTTCAGGCTTTGTTCCCAAGTGGAAAAAAAACACATTCCAAAATCAAAACATGCTTTGTGGAAAAGAATGCTGACCCACATGGCACTGCTGTTCACAAACACAGGTGAAGCTCCAGAGAGAGCCATTAGGCCCCAGACTTCTACTCCACCAAGCAGATACGGATTCAAACAGGGGCAGTTCAGGTTAGATCCAAGGCAGAAGTTCTTTACTGTGAGGGTGGTGAGGCACTGGAATGGATTGCTCAAGGAAGTTGTGAATGTTCCATCCCTGGAGGTGTTCAAGACCAGGTTGGACAGAGCCTTGGGTGACATAGTTTGGTGTGAGCTGTCCCTGCCCAAGGGAGAGGGGTTGGAACTGGATGATCTTAAGGTCCTTTCCAACCCAAATCATTTCATGTTTCTATAAGCCCACAAGGAATAAGAGGAGAACCACATCATTCATTTAACTCCTTTTTGCACTGAAGGGAAGGACCTGACCTCTCTGTGAGGACACCCTAAAGCAGCACCAATAGAAGAAAAAGAATAAAAACAAAGGAAAACAAGGAATTTCTGGGAAATGCTCATCCCTAGAAGGGAAGGGGGAAGATTATTCTACCAAAATCTACATAAAATCCAAGGAAGAAAAATCATCATGCAATATTCAGACTCTGCCCTGTTCCTGACTACTCACACACAGAGTGAGATTCTTTTCTCATTCTTTATCATTACTGATGTACAAAAAGGGATTTTTGTTTGGTTTTCATCTGCACTAGTTATTTGTATGCCAGGCTCCAGCTGCCAGCATTACCATGAATGTCTTTCATTTGTTGCTCCATTGCTGTGGAACAACAAACGTAAGACACTTCAAGGTTACCTAGTTGATTCTATGACGATTAGATTTCCCAGCTGTGCATAGAGAAAGCACCAGCCAGGACAGTCATGATAATGCAGCAACTTCCAAGCGGGGTTTTTAACTTGTGATTTGCAAAAGCCTAGAAGTATGCAGGATGCATGTAAGGAGTCCATAGAAAGTGAGATAACACAGTTCATTTGTGCCATACATGTTGGAGAGAGATTTCTATAAAACATCTCAACGCTCAGAATAACACCGAACTCTACAGCGAGAAGCAGACAATAAAGGATTTCAGTCTTTAAGAAAGTAAGACTGAGTTATTCACCCTTTTCAGAAGCATTGGAAATGTAAAAGCAGCCTTTCAGAGTTTCAGATGTGAAATATTTCAATTAAACAAAATGAAGGAAAAAACCACCATCCTCAAACTATTATAAGTTGCCTTGGGGTTAACACAACTGTTGCTTCTCTCTGAAACAAGAATAGGAAGGTGGACACTTAAAAGCCAGTGATTTCCCTCCCACTGGCATAATTCAGTCACCAGCGCTGGTGAAACCAGGGTTAGGTTCAGTCAAAACTTATTGTAACTCAGCCATTGGCATCCCAGTTCAACAAGTAACACCCATCGCTTTCTAAGAGAAGAAGAAAGCTCATCTTCACACTACAAGAGCTCTCAGAGCTCTGATGAATGAGCAGCAGCAAATAACCCCAAGTGCTGTTCTGCCTTCAGTTTTCATGCAGCCAGAGTATGCTTGCCCAAGCTCCAGCTCCGAGAATACCACGACTGGAACAAACAGCTTGCCCAACTGGGATCAAAACATGTCAGATTATACACAGTGACACACGGTCTTTCCCAAGATTCTCTTACCTCACGTAACTCCAGCCTCTGAGCAACAGCTTCCAAGCACTCCTGCCCCGTGCTCTCCACGGAGAGGGTGCACTCGATCACATTGCTGTCCAGCAGACGGATCCTTGTCACAAAGCAGTTCTTGCTCAGGACGTTGTAGCGCCTGGTCCGTCGCAGCTTCAGCCCGAAAGGCATGGCTGCTGGCCTGGAAGGCAGCCCCTTCCCTGTGCTCTTCCCAGAGTTATCAGCACCCTTGTCGACTCGCCTTGAAGGCTTCTTCAAGTGCCACGACTCTCCTCCAGAAATAGAGGTAGCTGTCCATTCCCAGGGAGAGCTTCAAGGGATTCCTGCAACAGACATACAAATCCGTAGAGTTAAGTGTGAAACAAGATGTTCCCAAAGTTCAGTGCAAAAAAGCTTAAAGGAAAAGAGTCACATTTTAAGCCATAAACTAAACACCTCCATGCACAGGACTGCCAGGCACTTGCACCTCCCAGAAGAACACCTCATACAACACGTCTTTCAAAACTCTCTTTTGGCACTGAATGCAAAGCACAGATTTAATTGCAAAGCCCTTCTTTGAGAAGCTCAGAACAAACAGCAACTCTTCAGGGCAGGCATCCAGAGGTGCTAACTCTCCCACCATTACCCCCACCACAGGGGTCCATAACATAATCTTCAAGTTAAGTTTTGGTGCCCTCGGGCCAGCTTTGAAAGCTAGCTTAAAAAAGAGAAGGAACAGAGGCATTTAAAAGAGGTGTGATTCTGAAAGAAGAAAGGCTGGCTGCAGCCAGCAGGAAACGCACCTCTGAAAAAATAAACCCCCAAGTATGCATGTGAAAGGCAAGAAGCATCCAAGCCATTTCAGAGAAGGCTCCTCTGATGCAATCCCTGACATGTTGCTCACTTCCAGCTCCAAAGCAATTCTGTATTCCACCCTTTCAGGTGGAATGAGTAACTGCAGGAAGACAACTGTCAGACACCTTGATAACACTCCATGAGAGGGAGAGAACACATACTCTAGACACTGGTTCTAATGACTACTGATATTTATCAGGGACACATGCAACTGTGAAGCCAAAATACAAAGTAGACAGAAGAAGCAGAGATACCGAAAAAAGGACATTTAGTGGATCTGTGAGATCCACTTCTCTCTCAAAGCTTAGTTAGGAGCAGGTCCAAGCTAAACCAAACCAAAGCATTTACAGCTTTAAAATGTCACTTTTCACGTGCAGAGAGGCATGGAGTAAAAAGCAAACTACTTGCTACCAAGCCTTCCTGCTTCCATTTGAATATTCTGGAGCAAGAAGTGAAGGGACATGAAAGCTGGCATTTAAAAGTCCATTCCTTGTAACAAATAGTACTGCAAACAGAAGCTACCTCCCATTTCCTTGCTGCTTAGGAGAAGGCCTGGAGAGCATTGCCAGCAGAGTAGGCATCATTTAGCCCAGTGTGACGTTTCAAACAGATATTAGTACATTGCTTGCGTGTATCATCTGGCAGAGAACTGCATGACTCGGTTATTTTCACTTTTTACTGCATGTAGTTGCTATGGAGATCATTAAAAGCAGCCCAACTGACTACAGGGATTATCGTTATACTAGAAACAGAACCATCACGTATTTGAGTCAGTGTATTTTCCAAAGCCAGTATATCCCCATGCTTATTAGGGGGTTAAAGCAACACAAAAACAAACCCCAAAACACAGAAACAGAAAACCACAAGCAACCCTCTCACTTAGGTGTGTGACTACCCTGGTAGCCTACTAGCTTCACCAGAGCAAAGCCTAGAGACTTTGAGAAGGGGCTTTGCTATTTGACTGAAGTGCAAACAAACCTATCACATTAGCTCCTGTAGTTTAATCTCCCATTCTAACTTTCATGGGGTCAGAAATAATGTATTATTTTCATAGGACTGCATGAGAGAGCTGTTATACCTTGCATCTCTAACATCAGAAGCCGGCCAAGACACATGAATACATCTTCACAACAACCTGGTGACCCATGACTCAAACAAGAGGAACTGAAACAAACATTAGCCAGCTTGTCCAACATCACTCAGGAGGATGGCAGCAGAGCCGGGTACTAAAACACACAGGCCAAGCTACTGCTTTAACCCCATGTCAACTATTTGGCAATTATCTTGCCGACAAACGTATCCAAAACTGCAGCATGAGGTTGAAAAGTGGGAAGTATGGAAGGAAATTACAGAGAAGGAAGGGTGTGGAGGACTACATCTTATCAAGAACAGCATTTGTGTTCAGTCTCTGGCTTTGCAGATTATTCTAAGCCAGACACATGGGGAGTTTTAGCTAGCCTGAAAATAACCCCTTCCCTTTCATTACTGTTAGCTGCACACATCTCTTTGCAGAGTATGAGCCATCCTCTATACAGTAGTTGTACAGTTAGTAGCAGCCTAAAGATGTTCTTCACTGTGAGGATGGTAAGGCACTGGAACAGGTTACCCAAAGAAGTGATGAATGCTCCATCCCTAGCAGTGTTCAAGGCCAGGTTGGATGGTTGACATGGTCTAGTGTGAGGTGTCCCTGCCCATGGCAGGGGGGTTGGAACTAGATGATCTTAAGGCCCTTTCCAACCCAAACCATTCTATGATTCTAAGAAATCAATGTCAGTTTACAAGAAGTCAATGTGATTGGCCTTGCTGACCAGGCACATGGAACACTACAGCTTTCTGAGGATAAGCAGTCCCAGAAGACATGTGTGCAAACATGCTGTTCTGGAATAAACCCACTAATTCTTGTACAATGGCAATGTTGACATGGATTGCAAATGAATTACTCTATCATAAACAAGGATATTTGCCTCCCTTTTCCAAAAGCAGTAAAGTATCAGGCGTTTTCCTTTAACTCTGCTGAAGGTGATGAGTCAGGCATACAGATTTGATAACAATGCACTTCGGGCCACAGGGTTTGGGGTACTTTTTCACTTCACTTAAATACACATGAATGCCTGATGACAGCTGTTCGGTACAACTTGTCACACTTAGTTTGCACTTAAAGAATGAATCAAGACAGCTCGAAATGGCTCCGATCAGCCCAGCCTGTAGCAACGATTAATTTTCAATCCAATGCACATGTCTAACTTTCCTGTTTACACTTCTTCTGGATGACCAACTTCCCATTTGGGTTTTCTGGTAAGCTTCCTAAAGAAGATCTCAAAGGCCCTGGTTACACACAGGTTCCTAAAGCAAACAGTGGTTTTTGTTTGTATAATCTTAAAAGCATCAGGAGCATCCATTTTTACTCAGTTATTTTGCAGACAACTGAGAAAAGAAGATGATGACAAGAAACAGAAGGGTTTGGTCTTTCAAGTGAAGGATTATTCCATTACAGGATCTCCTTTCCTGGCTAAAGGATTGCCGAAGAGCGGCAATGTCCCCAGCCAAGCTAACCAACTATGAAGGCGTCCACAACATTTCTCAAACTCACACTTTCACTTAAAACCAAATAAAACCAGTGAAACTAAAGCAAGCCTCCAAACGGCTCATCAAATAAACATGAACTTATTCTAATTCTAAAAAAGGATTTATTTCAAGTGTGAAAGACATCAAGATGACAACTTTTAAGCTGATACCTTCTATTTAAGGATTTGTTTTTCTGAAGAGAAACTAGACTGAGCTCTTTACAAACTTGGGTTTTTTTTCCTTTAATCTTTTTGTTCCATGTTTTGATTATTTTGGATACTTTCTTCTACTGCTAGAAAGCAGCTTAAGGATGGAGCCCGATACAAAACATCTACATTTCAGCTCAAGACAAGCTTACCTATCTCACTCTACTTCATGATGTAATGGAAGCCTTACCAGCATACTGCCTGGGCAAAGGCAGCAGATATGGATGTATGATCTATCCAGTGGCAGTTCAGTCTCTCGTAACATCGCTGCATCTTGCAAGAGAAGAGAGAAGAAATCACAGAATCATAGTTTGGGCTGTGTTGGATGGGACCTTTAAAGCTCATCCAGTTCCAACCCTCTGCCACGGGCAGGGACACCTTCCACTAGAGCAGGTTGCTCCATGCCCCATCCAACCTGGCCTTAAACACTGCCAGGGATGGGGCAGCCACAGCTCCTCTGGGCACCCTGTGCCAGCACCTCAGCACCCTTACAGGCAAGAACTTCCTAATATCTAATCTAAATCTCCCCTCTTTTGGCTTAAAGCCACCGAGTACTTGTGCAAGAAGTCCTTCCCTGGACAAAAGAGTTTTCAGTTGGTACCACTCCCCCATCGCTCAGCAACAGAATACAGTTATTCACACAAGCAGAGGTAAGAAAACACACTCATCTTGTATAACAAAGATTATCTCCCAAGCACAACCTGGGCACCAAACTGAAACACCTCCAAGCTGCAGATGGCACAGCTGTAATGGTTTGGGCAGGAAAAGGCTAATCATGACCTGGAGCAATAACACTACCTATCAGCAACCAGCCTAATCATGACCAGTGCAATAGCACTACCTATCAGCAGAGCCAGCTCTGCAAGAAGAACTAGGTCAGATTCACACTGTGATATGTAACACAGAATTAGTTCTGATTTTTAAGAACATTTACTTAGTTTCTGTATGAAATACAAAACCTCCTTATGGATTTAAATTTCCTTACGCAGATAAAGATGTGTGCCTTTCCAAACCAGTATTTTTCTTTCCTTTATGAGACATTACAGTGAAACCAGGTCAAACCACTAGCACACACAAAGCAAACCGATGAATGTCTTATGACTTTTCCAAACCTAAAACCAAAGAAGGTAGAAACAGGAAAAATTCTTCCTTCATTCCCCCAAAGCCAGCTGGGGCTGGCCAGATGTTAGTAGTTTTAATAGACAGACTGGGGGAGCAAGGGAAGCCACTATGTGTTTCAGAAGGAGGAGGCCATGGCGCAGAAGCTGCTTTGTGTGGCGAAGGGCACTGCTCCAATCACAGGGCACTCTCCTGCTTCCTTAAACTTCTTTAAAGGCCAGAAGAGAGAAAGACTTCTTCTCTCAGGACGTTTCCAAGTACACGACTTGCTCTTTGTTACAGAGTTAATACATTGAACCACGTTGAAAGGAGCATCCGATAGGAAAGGCGCTGAAAGCAGAATGCTTGCTCTCACTTCATTTGCTTCTGTGGGTAATTTCTGAAACTCCAGGAAGACAGTGATTACTGTCAAACTGCAGCCTGTATTTACCAACAGCACATGGCAGCCCTCCAGCATTCCAAGACTGCAGGAGCAGCAGCACACCTAACAGAAGTATGTAACCCTGGGCTGGGCCTGAGACCACAGCATGTGATGCAAGCGGCAAGGGATGTGCTAGCCTACAGTTTTAGGGAAGAGTAACAGCGTGCAGGAGACAGGG